TTGACGAGACCTCTACCGGATTCCCACTACACTATCAGTAACCTAGAACCAGTAATAAGCGGCAGCAAATTGGAACGAAATAACGAATGAGTCATTTTACTACATATATGTAATTTGAAAACGCAACTTTCTGGTATTGTACATCTGATTGTTTTAAGGAACAGTAGTGTGCATAATATATATTGTGTAATATGTTGTCGTGCACTACATTCTATGACAGGGACGATGAATGTTGTTTGACTATCGATAGTCTAAGAGAAGCTAGAGTGGTGGGTCAGTTTGATAAAAAGTTTATCCTGCTGATTGCTAATGCTAAAAGTAGTCATTATCAACTGTTTGAAGAATCATTCTCCAAACCACATGGATACAGATATAAACATTCCTACATTATTGCAGTTGATCAACATGCTGCACATGAGAGAATACTTGTTGAACTTTTTGAGAAAGAGTGCTTGAATCACTTTGAAATGTCTTCAAATAGAGCAACACGTGAACTTCAACTTTTGAAAATATTTTCCAGGAAAATATCTTTAAAACTATCAAGGCGATTGGTTCCCGATATCTTTAATTTAGTGAACCAAGAACCAGTTAAGTTATATTGGCTATTAAAGTACGGGTTCTCAGCTATTCTTGATTGTAACTCCATGGAGCAGTATATTATCGTTACTATGATCCCTCGAGTAATTCCTCAAAATCATTCGTCAGAAAAACTAGTTAAGAAAATCATCGCGAGTTGTATTCGGGTTATACTGTTAAATCAGGAGGAATCAAACGTCAGTACTATACACCAGATCATGTATGTCGCCGAAAGTTATATGTATTTTTACTTTATATATTAGAAGTCCTTAATTGTATTATAATTCAGTCGGTCGTTGTGTTAAACTTTGCAATATCCCCGTAAATATCCAATTTTTTTCAAAACGGTTGCTGGTATTCAGCAATCGACTCCTCTGTGATAAAATGAGAGTCCCAATATAGATTCATTCAGTCATAATTTCGTAAACTTCCGACAATGTTCTCATATACCAACGGCTGTCATCAGAGTATAAGAAAACTAATTGTCACCAAACTCATTATTGAGGGTACCGAATAATAACACAAGGTGACTCTGTACTTCAAAATTAAGTTAAGAAACATTCCTAAGCGTTACAGTAACACTTTCTACAAAATATTTGTTGTTACGGTTATCAAACTAGTATCTTTTATTTATCGAAATCCAAGACTTTCATTTTGATGGAGCTTGAGCAAACTTACATGTGATATTTTAGGCAGGCTTGGTGAAATTATTAAACATATTTTAGTCAAGTTTTTACAATGGTTCTCAAGTAGAATTTTAACACGTGAAACCCTTTAACAGCTGCTGCATATCAATGTTCTGTTGTTTGCAATCTACGGTCTGGAATTACTCCCTAATTTGTTTGTTTCAGGACTTTTGGTGCTGATGTTTATTGCTACTATATCAAAGACTATTGCTGCAGCTGACTTGAATTTGTAAACTCTTGCCGAAGTCAATTTTCGTGCACCATTTTCAGGACCATCTTTGTAATCTACTGTTACCACCTTGTATTTTTGTGCTACTAATGATCACATAGAATTACATACTACGGTTAATTTCCTTTTACATAATACCTTGTGTAATATCGTTGGATTTCTGTGCAACCTTACGTAAACCACCTGGGTGTCTTACTAGTTAATGAATAATAGATCAGTGGACGGACTGTTATCTTCAGCTATATCTCCAATCCTCTCTCAAAGAGATTTGTTGGAGAAATATTTAGTACCCAAAGTACTTTATTCTGGTGCTAGCAGATTCTGTGGTTGCATGAGATTAAACAGCTTGTCTTTTTAATTTTTTGAGGACGCTGGCAAATGAAGTAGCCAAATTGATAAGGATACAATGATACGATCTATTTAGTTCAATCCTTAACAGAAGTTACCAGTATCTTCTAGTTCTCGTGAACTAATCTAGGGTAGGGAAACAGCAAGAAACTCAACCAGTAAATGATTAGCAATGTCTGTAGAGATTAAAAACAACATAAGGTGTAATCATCTACAATTTGGATTTAGAGATGAAAGTCCATCCCCGCATATAAGTATAGTAAGTCACTGAATTAGTAAGCTGTAAGAGGGATTATCGCTGCGATAATAAAATTTTCTTTCAAGACGCTGATGGGAAGTCCAAGGTCCTGATTAACTTGTGTAAAATTTAGAATTCGGATTTTATTTCGATTATGTTAAAGTATTTTGTATTGGCTATATAGATTATCAGTCTCGTATGAAAAAAGTAAAAATGGTTCGTGATTTATTATATCGAACGCTTCTGTGAGATTAACTTATACTTGAAGATAAAAACTAGGAAACGTCGAAACTCAAGATCTAAAGTCAATCCTTACTTCCAGACATCCAAAGATGTGCCAGCTATTGTTCTAAAATATGGGCTGGCCGTAATTATTTAACAGAGGCCCTGTGTAAGTCGGCCATCAAAATCCATATATTTATATACTGAATCCGACGGTTCTGAGAACTGATTATAAAATTTAAAACTATGGATTCAATACCTTTCAAGTGCGCTCCTATTTTGAAGTCACTATTAATAATACGTCACAAATAGTTCCATCCCACTGTTAACTGCATTGTTGGCTAATCACTAGTATAAAACTGATACATAATGTAAACTATATTGATTATTTCATGTTTTATGAGATAGGTGTTCGACGCTGCCGCAGCTTTGCAGGTCTTGGTACCAAAGATATCAAGAACGATTCGGTTGTTCTGTTTTCTTAATAATATCCCTCATTTGTGTAGTACTAGAGCAGGGAATTTTACTAATGATGTAAGTCGTCTGTTGATCCAAGAGCGGCATAACGTGTGAGAGCAGCTAGAACATAGTTCAAGTAAAATAACTATTGCTGGATGCCTTATTAAAAGTGAATAAACCATTCATGTACGAAAATATTTAGCCAATCCAAACTCTAGTGGTCATATACACACCATTCATGTGACAAACAGAAGTTTAGCTGACATTTAAAGCTAACACGAATATACTATCTAACAAGTTCTCACTTTCGGGTGAAAGTTTATTTGACTTTGGTAGTTTTCCTCAAATACAACATGGAGAACACCAACCTAATCACACTTGATAAAGAAACACTGGAAGATGTGGGGTCTTCCGCGTACCGCATCATCGATGAACAACGAGGATCGGACGCAGACGTAAATGTAAGGATCGAAAAGGTAACGGCCGCATTCCTACAATTGAAGAGCATATAGAACTCAAGACAACTGTCAACCAATGTCAAAGTCACAATCTTCAAGACAGCCCTACTGTGCAGAGATGAAACGTAGAGAACTACTACAACCATCATCAAAAAGGCACAAGTATTTATAAGCAATTGTCCACACAAGATACTCAATATCCGTTAGCCAGATACCATCAGCAACAGTCTACTGTGAGAGAGAACGAACTAGCTGCAGTTGAAGAGAAAATCAGGAAAAGACGTTGGAAATGGATAGGAGACATACATTACGGAAATCACCAAAATGCATCATGAAGCAAGCCCTAACTTGAAATCCAAAAGGGGAACGGAAAAGAGGAAGACCGAAGAACAAGCTATGTGGGGAATCGGAAGCAGACATGAAAAGGATGAATAGCAACTGGAGGGATTTCCCAGGACAGGGTTGGATGGAGTGCTGGTTGGTGGCCTACGCTCCTCCATAAGTGGTAACTGGCGTGTTTGTCTAAATAATTCTGAACAATTTAATGTACGTTATGGGTCTGTACTAACAGCAACAACTACTCGTAACAGTGAGTACGCAAAATGTGTAAAGTTGGACCTAAAGAAAAAATAATTACAGATACCAAAAGATGATATTATAGGAACACTCCTACGACTAATTTTTGTCGAGCCCTTTTATTAACTTACTTAACATACAATATTGTTCGAACATTAAGAATTCGTATATTTACTTGTATTATTATGATCGCTATCATGTCTGTATAAACGTGTATACTTGATCACATGTGACAGCGTACACGCATATCTCTCCCCAACTTAAATATTACTCGATGAATCATTCTCTCCCTCATGTATATTTGTATTCGAATAGCATTAATAACCTTTACCTTGCTTTGGTTCGATATGACTATAAATTCACATCTGTATTCGCTCACAAATACACTAGCCTTTCTGCTCCGATTCGCTCGATGTGTTTGTGACTTGGTTATCTGTGCTATCCGCTAATAAACTGTAGCTGCCGCTTCTTATTGCCTTCCGAATTCAAACACCGTTGGGATTTATATAATAACGGTTATCAAGGTGATTGGTAGGCGAAGCCTACGGAATCATCTCGCAACCAAGCCACAAAACTGTGATCCGAAGCCCACAAAAAGTTTTAGTTAGCATCTAAAAAAGGTTTTTGTTCGTATTACTCTGCGAATTGTAGTAACTAAAGGGTGAAATATAATAAAAGTTGATGTTCAGTAGGAAAAAATAAAGTTGAGAAAGTCCCTACTGAGCAGGAATGTTTCTCAGTCAGTTTATCATTGTGGTTACACACGATTATAAACATTACAAAATCGATAGGTGTTATTTATATAGTGAAGGTAAGTATTCGAAGTAAATAATCAAGGAAGCCATTCAAGATGAATATCGATAGTTCCCGTTTGTGTGATAGACATGCATGCAGACCATGTAACAGGCTGAATAATATACTGCAAATGGTAAGTGTATAAGCACAAAAATCTTCACATGGTTTTGGTGCGTTCGCGCAGTTAGAATTAACGTAATTTACGACTTAAATAAAACAAAATTTTTTTCGTTTTTAGGCAAGCGATTCATCCCCTTTTAGAAAGTCGAGCTTGTCATCAAGCAATTCGTTTCGGAAGTAAACTTAGCAGAAAGCAAATGGAGAAACTTATAATTGAACTTTCAAGATGTCGTATACCTTTCCAATGCGCACATGGACGTCCAACTTGTACTTTAATTACAATAACTGATAAAGAATATGATTAAATTTTATAGATAAAAATGTCCATAATACTAAGAAGTAAATATTTCAAAATAAAATCTATACAATACTATAATTGTCTAGTTTTAATCTGTACACCTTAATCTGAAGACAATAGTGTGGTCGACATTTATACTTTTTGTTAAAACAAATCTTAAAAAATAATTTATGAAAACAGAACAATGTTACATGTCAAACAATTTGTAAAAGGACATAGTTTAAGAAGAAAAATACAGTGTTTGATATTCATGAAGTATATCACTATATGAAATATTACGAAACATTTTCAGAGGATGCCATTTTAAATGTTCTGCAAAATTTAATCCAACCGACAGGAGTGAATATTGCAGTTATTCTAAGCCTTTCTGAACTCGAAGGGGAGGTATCCACGCTTGTGACCATTGCATTAGAATAAATCCATCTATAAAAACAAAATAAAAATCCACTCATTGGAATTACATACTTGTTAGTGATTGACATTAAAGAGAGAAATACAATTTTAAAAAATCGCTATCGAAACTACCATCAAATGCTTTACAGTGTTGTACTACATATATTACGTATGTTATTTTTGCGTAGATTGTAAACTTCTAATTTCGAATAGCTGAATTAAATGAGAATGATTAAAGTGCTTGTGCATTAATAGTATCTGATCACCTAACAGTTACGATAATAAATACAGCTAGTCCGATTTATTCTCAATTCCAGTAGATTCAGTCCAAGTTAAATTGAGGATTCTTCATTGTATCTAAACATATATATATATATAAGAGAGAGAGAGAAGCACAAAAAGATTTCCGCTCAGAAAATCCCATCTTAAATGTTCCTCTTAAACAGGTATCATCCCGCACTGCCATACTGTAGCCTGTTATATCGTAACCTAAGAGATGATAGGACATTTGGTAATCGTAGGGCTAACACTAGGAGTCAAACATCTTATCTGTTTTAAGAGGTAGGAATGAGAGATTTGTTAATAGAAGTTGATTACCGATGTATATAATACACCTCTCTTGATTAGCTGATCTACTGATTGATCAATGTTGAGGTCAAGTACAGAGTTAAAAATGTATGTTAGATTATAGACATACTTAAATAGGACACTTATTAGATAAGTGGAGGAACTTTCTACCTCGAAGTAGTATATTAGTTTGAGTGGACTTCAGGCAGGAAAAACTAGGGGTAGTATCAACTAAACAAGGTATCAATTCAGGTTTTGGCCATAATCCGACTAATAATCACAATATACATCTTCGACATTTTCACTGATAACGTTCACGTTAGTTAAATAATCACATCCACCAACCCGGATATGAAAAATCTTACCGATTAAACTCTGTGCACATAACCGAATTTCCGACTTCAAATGACCAATATCATTTGAGAAAAGAATGACTGTTATGCAAGTATATATAGAAAAACTAAAATTCTTAACTACTTAAGCACTTTTCACCTCTAATAACAGACAAATATGTTTCTATAAATTATTTGTATGTTCTTATCTGAGATTTCATAATTATGTAAATCTGACAGTTAATTTAGATACTACGGGTGAAACAGATGTTAGAACTAGTATATTAGGATTACCAATACTCACTGAAAACTAGGACCACCTTGGCGAACATCCAAGGTGCGCGAAAACCATCCAAGACGTTTCATTAAAGCTAGTTGAACTTTTGAAGTCAACTCTTTCATACCTGTCCCAGTTTTAGCAGATATTAATGCATCAAATCCAGTGTACACATCATTTGATTCACTAAAAAGTTCATAAAAAACAAAGTAAATTAATAAGTACATAATATATCATGTTTATAGTAAAATATGTATCAGCTACTTAACTCCTACCATTTTATATATGGTGATTAATTTTAGTCAACTAAGTGTTTACCAAAACGATTTCTAATGTGCGTTAAACTAATGTCAGTAACTGTTAGTTTTGACTCTGATATCTGGATACCACAGCCTCCATTTTCCTTCTGGCCACAGCTACTGAAAAACATCTTGCAAGGAAGACAAAAAGGATTGATTTAAGCAACCAATACAAGCGGATAACCAAATTATAGAGAATGACCTTAAAAATAGGGCAAACCCTGCTATGGTTAAAGAGCTAAGAGTCAATTTAAAAAGTCTTTAAACACGACAAACTAAAGGATAACTACCGTAGGGAGACTTGGTGTGCAAAGTAGAGATTCAAATCTCTAAAATAACAAAATAATTAGTAAGTGATTTCTATGGGAATTAACACATTCTGCCCTCCATCAACAGTTCCGGAGTGAATTCCACATAAAAGATAGCCGATATTTCATGTCAGCGAATGATGATTTATTTACATGCCAGAGACGGGTGCAATCAATCACTTAAGTCGAATGCAACGTAGAACCTAGCATGTGCGTACACCTGATCAGGTTTCCATACTTCATTAGCACAGCGGGATGAAATTGCTAGGCCAAATCCTGGAGTAGTAGAAGTGGTAACAACAGAGAAGACTAGGTACTGGATATATGCTTCGAGAAGATAGAAATCGGTGAAACAAAAACATTATCAGGAATTTAGAAACTTAGGATCTGGGGGAAGACAGAGTCGATGCACCTGAACCACCCTAAGTAAGTTGCTTACGCTCTTCATCGTGTTTAGAACCAGACAGGATAAGCTTCCAAGCAACCATCAGTTCTTTAGATAATACACTAATCAGGTGATGAAAATATTTTTTAAGAAGTCTGCAAATTTAATACTGATATACATACAAATTACCTTTTTTGGCATTTCCATGCCAATTCATATATTCATACGCTTTTGATAAAGTCACGAATTCTGATGACAAAACGTCTATGATTAAATATGAGACCTTACAGGATCGCAAACAAAAGTTTCCCTTATTCCAAGCAACATTTTGACGAAATAGCAAAGTGTACTTTATCGCATACACCTTTATATTCTAGGCAAGATTGTACTGTTATGTAACAAGAAATAAATTGACCTTATACTTTAATGATAACCCTTATATTAATCTGGAGTTCAGATATTACACATTCTCACAAAAGTCAATAAGAAAATGACCTCTTACTTTCCTTACATTCGATCTAGTTTGTTACCTATTTTTAACACTTGAGGTGGTTCAAATGCATTGGAATCGTTTGTGTGTCCAGAATTTGTCGGGTTTTTTATAACACCAATATTGCACAACAGCTCCTCTACATGATTCACTTGTAATTGCCATTCAGGTTGACTTACATCAACTATGTGCAAAATTAGATCCTAAAATTGATGGATAATAGCATGAACAACAAAACGAACATAGGTTAAGTGAATGTAGTAACACAGGAAGAACAAAAGTTACAAATAGGTAGATTTCATTGTACATTTTTTGATTTACAAACCTTAAACATCAAATTAAAAAGCGGAGGTAAGAACAATCAATCCGAATTTTGGCAATAAGTTACATTCTTAAAAATACTGTAAGTCTAGTGAGCGCTAACATACAGTAGTATCTTCGAAACACGACAACAATTACCTAATTGATATAAATGTGTATGTGTACGTATCATAAGTTTTGTCAGCTAGCACAATACAACAGATGAAAAACCCATAAGAATTTGAAATATAAGCTTGTGTCATCCTTTCAAAAGGGGGTAGTTTCCGGGATTCAAGGTAAAATATTTATCATTTAAAGTTGATATATGAATACCATTATAGTGGTAAAAACTCCTTCAAATGAAAACAACAAGCTAATCCGTAATTTGATTACGACATGAGGTTGTGTAATGAAAGAAATACAGACACGTAACAAACTCACTGCATCTAAACACTCATCTAAAGTAGCTCGAAACGCAGCCAATAAATTAGTTGGAAGATCAGACATAAATCCTATTGTATCCAACAGTAACATTTGTATCCCAGGCAACCCTATACTATTAGAACAACCACCATCGCTGCCATTCTCAGAAAACAACTGATCAGAAGTCATATTGTTCTCTTCTACTTTATTTGGAAGTATAGGCAACCGACTTCGATGATGTGTGATATCCAAAGTGGCGAACACTTCTGGGGATGAGGCAAGTTTGTCTGATTTGCTTAAATAGCGTATAAGACTTGTTTTACCTATGTAAGAATGAAAACGAAATGAAATATTCATGTAAAAGTATAAAATTCAATTGGTGGGATATAAATTGGATTAAAGAATGTTCTGTGCAGGATTTTATTGGAGCACGCTGACGGGTTGTTTTTTGGACAATCAGAGCTAGAGAATACTTGGAGAAGACACTAGAATCTTCTCATATAAAATTTTAAATAAAGTGACATTTTATTATTGTGATTCTTCCTCTCATTCGACCTTGTTTATTTGGAATATAATTACGTTCAACTTTGTTTTGATTTGGGGACTTTGTGGAATGAAATAAGGTGTTCGAAGAATGCTAGGCAATAAGAGTAGCTGGGTTGTTTTGAAAAAAATCATAATAGTATTGTGATTAGAAAACGATAGGCGGGAATAATTTGTGCATATCTAAACAAATGTTAATATTCGGTTATATATTTTCATGATTTAAAATGTAGGAAGCACTGGAAAAATAAAAATGCATATCAACATAGTCAGTCAGTCAATCACATGGGAACTTTTACTGAAGCTAATAAAAATATTACCACTTATTGCTATGACTTGAGACGCTAACTGATGTAATATGCTAAATCCAGCAATCAGAATTCTGAGTACAGTCATTTTTATCCCACATCTACTATTGCGTCTAAGGTTTAGCTTCCTCAACTGAACAATTATGTCTGACCTGAACAGTTAAACTTGGACAAACGCAAGCTAAGTAGCTCCTATTGATCCGCTATCCACGAGCTTTTTTCTATGCCATGTCTTGAGTTCAAAGAGAAGTCACCAACAGTCACTTATCCGGAAAATTCATTGACAAAAGTCAAGTAAAAAAATTATCTTAGAGACACCACTAAAAAAAGAGTGAATTATGGATTTAATAAAATTTAGTTTTCAGCAGCACTTATGCAAGTCGACAGATTATATTTAAAACTACTTTAGACTACGTAGTAAACTTATTGTCATACAATATACACCGATTCACAAAATCGGAATGAAAAGAATAAGAAAGGCATAACCAGTCGACCGCTAATCATCTACAGTTCCAATAGACGAATGGAAAATACACTGAGTAACGATTAATCTAAAGCGGTACACCAACTTTGAAGAAGCCTGTTTGTTCTTTATCTAGGTGATGACAAAATTGGCGGACACTTTGTCCAACATAGCATCTCATGGAGTCTGTACAGTTTACTATATGGATAATATTCAATTTGCTCTCTTTTGTCAGTTTTTCTGCTTAGATATAATTGACAAGGGTTTGTTGCCTAATGAGCTACACCTTTGCTTATAAAACTCAACAATCTTGTTGTAATTTGTCTTATGTTTACTGAGCTGGAGAAAATAGACACTTGGAGATGGATCCGCCAAAAAAACAAATCTAAACTTATATATCTCACCAGCATTGGTATATCCCACAACAGCAACCAGTGGTAAATGATGTTTCTCCATATCTCGTCTATGATTACGCCTATGATGAATACGTTGTTTGGAAATTTTTTCCAATTGATTTAAAAGACTAACTTCTGTTTGCTATAATGAAAGTAAAATTGGGAAGGATTTTTTGCAATCAGAAAAACCATTAAAATTTATTTAAAATTGAATAAAAATAAGATGTCTGACGAAATAAAAGTGACCTACAATAACTTGTTTATTAACTGGCAATTAATCATGTTTGGGTATGCAATTGACATTCTGTAGATAAGCACTAGAGAGAAACGATTTATCGTCTTGACTAAAAATTCCACTTCTTTTGATAAGGGTTCATTCGGGGAACTTGCAACAATAATTCAACCTCGTGACCAGTTATCTATCAGATACTAGATATCATCTATCGAACAATATTCTTATTTATTCACTCTTACAAACCCAACGAACGGGTCAGTGTAACTCACCAAGAAAGGCCACATCGTTATTGTGTTGCGAGGTTTTTGATCCTGAAACTGATAAACAAGCTCCCTATTCGCAACCCCGACTCGGCACTTGAGTGAGAAGCAAGCGTTTTATTAGCAAACGAGATCGAGAAATAACTACGTATATAAGCCATATTTTATTCCTTAGAAAATGACGTCAGATATTGACCAACGGCGTAGGCTTATCATTGAGTCGAGGTTTCATTGGTTTACTGTATCAATCATAATTTTAAACATTTATAGTTGATTGTAGATTCATTTTCCAAATAGAGTTTAAATAGGTTAAACAAAATGAATAATCTTTGACTAGATATAAATAAACTGGAAAAAGTCTATTTATTTCACATGACTGGTCTGCAAGCTACGCAACAGAAAGTAATACTGAGAAACGAACCAGATATAAGTGTTACTCTGTTACAATTCTACTTCAGAATGCATACTTTCTTGACCGGTTCAATATCTACAATCAGACAGTAATTCTACACATATTCTTTTTATCTACTCAGATGAATAGTAGTAGGGAAAAAAATATGATCGCCTGCTGCAGGAATTCAAATGCTATACAGTAAATTAGTCCTGTTGTTACATTGATTATTTTCGTACTAGCTATTAATTGTAAGAGTAAGAAGTACACAAGAAAAAAGTTTCTTCGACTAATAAACACAGCTTTAAAACGCTAGAAAACTTATTGCGAAACAAGTTTTTTAAAACAAATTGATAAATAACTCTTACATTAAGTATTTGTAATAAACGTTCCTTTGTAGCGAAATCTGACCTATCAACCAAGCATTTAATCATATTAGGTGCTTCAAAAAATGCTGGAATACGAGCTCGAAGTAATCCAATTTCAGCTAACTTTGCTTGAAGTTTTGCTTCTGGAGTACGAGATCGAAGATTAAAAAGCTGAACAACGAGGGTGTAGCTGAAATTACAATCAACAGCAAAAAAACTAAACAGCTCTTTTTCCAGCAAATAAAGGAAATTAAGTTTCATCGACCAAAACGTACAGCACTATCCAGTTGGATGACAGTAGATAAAGTCTATGTGATGCTTAGGAGGAGGATTCCTGTCAATCATCAATATAGAACTAGTTGAGATCTACACACTTAGCAGCAGTATAACATAAGGAAATTATCACGGTGAAAGTCAAAGTTGGAATAATAATAGTAGCAACTTGAATAAAGAAAATCAAACCGTACAACCATACAAGGTCTCTAACCATAAACTACGATCACCAGACAGACTCCCATCAGGATCAGAAGTAATTCCAGTCAGAGGCATCCACACTTTGTCTTACCTTAGATTTCGAGTTTTAAAATTAGCTGGTACTATCTAATTCACGACTTTATTGTTTTTCTCGAATGATAGTATCTATGCCCAAGGTTTTCTGTTACCATTGAAACTGCTATAAATGCCACTTTGAAGTATATATTGAAAAGTCCAACTCGCTTGTTTATAGTCATATGCAAACGAAGAATCAAATAAATATGTGCATCTTTTTAAATTACCACAACAAACTAAAATAATCAACACAAATCTGAGTAGGATGATTGATAACAATATTAGTAGTGGGGTAAACGATTAGGTATAAAAAGGAAAAAGAGGTTTAAGATTTCAGGACACAGATTCTAAGAGAAGACAGATTGAATGTACTCAAACCACTGTGAACGGTTCTGAGATATCAACCAACGTTTCCACCCACCGGTTATAATAATTACGCGAACACTAACCAGGTAGTCTGCATCTATCTAAAAGGCTCGGTCCAACAGTCAATGAATTCATGAATCGACCCCTGACTTTGGTAAAACCTCAAAACATACTCATACACCAGTCATAATGAACAGCCGAGGTAGGTGGTATTAACTTATATTAAGACATGTCCCAACTATGTCAGCCAATAAAAATTCACAACCTCATCAACCGATTTGTTCTCTTTACCTAATACTCTGAGTCCAACGTAAAAACTGCTTACTCAGCGGTCTCAATATAGGCGAGTGATATTTTCAAGATAACTACGAATGAATACTATTTTTCTATGAATATTCTCTATTTTTAAAGGCCATTTTTCACAGCCATAAAATAGAGCAGAGTGAAGTGCTGTACAGTATACTCGTTATTTATTTGGCAGACAGATATCTTGTCTATGCCATAAATAGGTCAAGTTGGGAAAAACCAATCGAACTTTCTAAATTCGTGCAGAGATTTCGTCAGACACTAACCCATCAGGGCTGATGAGACTTCTAAAATAAGTGAAGTGATTGACGAGCTACACCAATTCACCCCTATTAGTAGATAAAGTGTTAACGCAAATTAGTTGCATTTAGGTGGAGAGAATCTCATTTTAAACACCACTGTATCGTTGTTCAAGGCGTCTTCATCAAACAGAACTGTCATTTGTACATTATAAGTCAGCAAGTGAATCTTTCAGGAGATCAATTCTTGAAAAGTTAGATGACAAGAGCGTTATCGCTAAAAGAATATCTATAACGAGGTTGAATAAAATAGGGAAGGTGGACAACCATGAAGAACACTGTTTAAAGTTGACAATTCATCTAGCTACACTGATATGGCGTGGCAACTTGAACCGATGCACATATGTACCAGGTTTCACGTTGCTTGTGGCTTGATTAACTAACTAACCAGGATTTCTACGGGCTTTTTGGGTTATATATGCTATGATTATGTCAATCCAGATATTATGTTTGAAAACTGATTACGCTACCAGGGAAACGAAAACAAAGTAGAATGTGACAGGGCTATTTAGCGATTTAAGTTGTGAACTTAAAAAAAACAGCGGAAGACCAACTAGGGGAAAAACAAGAGTAATGGTGACTAGGCCACTCAGTATACAACCATTAAAATTTTAAATCCAGTACAACCACTTTAGTTCGAGCAACCAAGTAGTACATCACAAACCTTCATATGCAAACACCACAACTTGAAACCGGGTATATAAACCTGTACTGGTTAACAAAATCCACGAGATTTGAAAAAATAACATGTATACATTAATGTTTATCCGACATACTCTGAACTATGCGATTAAATTGTGAGATTCTGTATTGTTTTTTTCGTCGTGATTATGAAGTTTGTATTTTTGTACACAATTCAAGTCAAAAATCGATGTTGTGTTCTGCCCATAATGCGGTCTCTTCTATCCCGTTTCTTTTTTAGTTGTTTACAGTGAAACAGCTATCCAACGCTCACTAGTTTCTAATGCTTATTCAGATGTCACTTAGTGAAGAAAACTATTTCTAAACTAAGCTGATTTTCCACAAACTTACAAAGAAAATAATTAAACGAGATCACACATAGGAAACAGATGAATCTTAAGTAACAAGTACACCAGTTTAAGTTGTTTTATTGAGAAATATTAAGATCAAAGAAAAAACCCACAGAGATCTTGCCATAGTAACAAGCCAAAAACCTAATAATTCAATTATTAATTTTCAGTAGGTTCAAAATAAAACTAACCGATCATAAACAGGCATCAGCCAGGCCTGTTGCATAAGTGCCAGTTGTAGTGTTGTTAAACGAGGCCAATTTACGAGGACTGCTGTTGCTCGCTTTTTAACTGTATGGTCAGAGGATGAGTTATTTTTTTCGTTAGGAAGTGTATCACCAGTCTGAACAGACTGTTTCCCATCACGATAAGCAATTACAGACTCTGATACATTTTGCCATATACCTTTACTAAAAAACGGTCCTTTATTAGTGTTGGCGGCTTTTACATTGCAAAATATCTAGAAATATGATTTAAAGAATTAAAGAAAATATCATCACCTATCCAATACTTCTCAAACTAACAAAAACAATTTCCCACTTCGGGATAAAATAGTAAAACAAATTTGCATTCACAAATAAATATAACCAAATGTGTGATAACGCATGAAAATAGTTTACATCGCAAACTGATAACAATTAGTGAACCAATGGGAGTCGGGAAGCACCAGACAGGTAGTTGGTTTTTGTTTCAGTGTTCTCAGAAGTTGTATACTCACAACACATATGATAAGACCTGGGAGAACATCACGTTTTGCGGTGAACGTCTTTAGATCGGTGGGTAAGAACTCAAGTGTTCAGTTTTTCAACCTGTCATATTAGATTAATGAACAGCATATGGCATGAATCATTTATCCAAACTGGATATATTATTTATATAGATCCCTATGCCTTGCCTGATAGTTACATGCTTATAAACCTGCTATAACTGGATAAATACTAAGCAATGTAGAACTTTCAGAACGGTCCTACCTGAAATCATTTGTAATTTTGGTTGTATAATTACTAAATAGTTGAACTATTGTGTTTTTGTGTTCTCCTACTTGCATGTTTTCCAGTAATGTATATACTGCTATTATGTATTGTACCTTTTTCAAGCCACTGCTGCTTATTTACGGACCTATTACTCAGTCCTCTCCCACTTACGGCGTAGTTATGAGGACATTGCAATCCCTCAATTATATTGACAGGTGGCCAGGATTTTACGCTATATTACTGTATGAGTGACTCATACATTCAACTGTATAATCAGAGAGAGAATGGAAAACTACAATTCGTACCAATAGCCATTTAGTGTTATTGTCGTTTGTTATCTCACCATTGTCGTGTCACTGACTAGCTGTCGATTGACACTAGATAGACAGTCTAAGCGAACCAATTAACTAAAGCGATATAACTGCTTTACTGTATAACGGTTGGACTAAACGGGCCCTAAAAACAACTAGCAAAAAACTTAGTTCATTTTTTTTACTATCACATTAAAAAGACAAAAAATCCTGACATCCACCCTCGTGATTTAAAAAATGAAAATTATTGTGCTAGCTATAAAAAATCCTTAGGCTAGTCTACTCTACTCCCTAACTGGATATGACACTGGGGTGATTACAGCAGAAATAAGTGTTTTCTTATCCAGATCATTGCTAAAGACAAGACACTAAGATATGTAGTAGTAATGATATCAATGATAAGAAGATCGGTAGTTTTGCTCAATTAATAAAAAATTTGGAATAAACGCAAGTTGCCAGTTGTGAAAGACAGGTCCTAGAAAAAAAAGAACGTCTAGATGGTGGAGTTCCTGTTTCATAGTAATTTAGATTGGTCATTTCGACTTACTGATGGGAAAAAAGCTTAGTAAAACAACTTCGATGACAATTCTATTTATTCACAAAATCTAAGCGGTTTACCGAATTTGTCTCCCATTATCTTTTTTACTAATTAAAAGTTAATAAACCGGCCACCACCACCCTTTCAGTTGACCAAATCAACGTGAGAGCTGTGACTAAGTGCTTAAAGCACTAAGCTTTTAACTAATAAGTAATATTTTCGAAACTAGCTTATTAGGCAGCCTAAGTAGAATTAGTAACCCTCATATAAAACAGTATGACCTAAAACTGAGTAAATAACCCTATGTATTTAGCAAATGAGTTACATAAACATTTTATCATTGTACTATTAAAAATAATTGTTTTAAAACAGGAAATCTATGCAATATTGTGTCAAATTTTTTACAGTAATTAATTTAATTAATGTTTATTGTTTGAAGGAGAAAACAAGAGTAATATTAAATGGTCAATGAATGTATAAAAACCACAAATGTTACTCTACGTACTTCTACTGTTTTCTCAAAAACTTTGGATAATTAATTAGCGACTGAGAAAAACTCAGAGAAAATACAAATGATTTACATATTTTGCATAAGGACGGATAACTTTACATATTCTTTTAGGGATAGTGAAATAAATTCAGATCGGATCCAACTGATTTTTCAAGTTGTAACATTAATATGGTAAAGAAGTTGTTGAACACTATCATCTTGAATGATCATTAGGAAGCTCAGTTGTTTGTCATTACATTAGATGGATTCATTAGATTATTCATATTGATAGCAAAACAGTTCCTTTAGAACAGTGAATTTAATTAACGAGGATATTGGAGGACTATTTTCAATAAACAGTCCATAAAGTTACTAACTTCTGGTTTGAGCTATGTTGGTAGATGCAGACTACTTGGTTAGTCCTCTCGACTATCGTAACCAATGGTTGAAGACTCTGGGTGGCATGACTCAGAATCGATCACAATGACGTAAGTGCATACATTCTTTGTCTTCCTTTTATATATTACTACCATTAAAGTAACTACTATGAATTTGGCGATCATTTTGTTGTACTAATGAGGTGTCGCAACTTGGACTGATGCATATATATGCCTAATCTTACGTTGTAGCTGACTGACTTACTATTGAATCTTACAACATTTTTTATGATACTTATATCTCTCAAAGTTTGGTTTAAGATGTAATATTTGTAGTCTAATTGAGAACCCATTGAAATAATTACTGTGACATCTGCTACTTTAACAAGAGGAAACTTTAACGATCTAATATTGAATTAAATTTGCCGAAAGAAAACATGAACTGTCAAGTCAATATTATCTCTCTATATGAAATATTCCAAAACAAACAATATTATATGTAAGCTAGTATTAATTTCTCATCATTAGGTTAGTCACAAAACTAACAGAAATAGAATAGAATATGAATTTGACTATACAGCAATCGCTTGTTGGAAGCTAGACTAGCAGTTAATTTAGAAATGTGTTACTTATGTTGCAAACGCTTATATTAGTGGAATCAGAGATAAACAACCGAATTGCCATATAATCCTAATGATAATGATTATAATAATATTGTTATTATTATTACACAACTCATTTACCAAAAGTACAACCATATTGGCTCTGTTCTACAAAACCCACCTATTCTCATGACGCTCAGGCCACAAAAGAATGTGTTATTTCCAGAGAACTACTGCAGTTATCAACTCAATGTTTACAATATAAGGAAGTATAATTGATTTGGTGAACCATTCGTGGTTTTACAGTTTTAAGGTATGGGTTTAGACGAAAACAGTTTCATATTTGAGACTAATGAAAGGATTAACCAATTTGTTCACATCTATATACACACTCCAAAGAAAGGTAATTTATTATTATACTGGTTTTTAGAACCAAACATTATTTTGGCTCTCTACAAGCTGAACAGAACAGTTTCAACTTGCAAGAAAACCACACAGGTACCAAGAACTTGAGTCATGTGATCACATTACACTTATGTATTACTTTCGACCAACGATCCCATTAACCAGTTATGCGCAGCATAAACAGGACAATTCTAATCCACTTCGATCACACAACTGCTAAACTTAATATTATAAGCAACGGCGATATGGATTTAATCAGTCAGCTACAATTATATGGATTACGTCCTAATGAAACAGGCTCGTAAGAACGCAGAAAGGGATTGCCGACATCAATGATGCCAGTTACCCAACAAATCAATCTGAGTATGAGAGGCTATTAAAATCTGGAGAGATATGCTGAACCCTTCATAATATCACTAGCGAACATCAGGTTACTTAAGAAACCCTTAGCTCTTTACATCAATATAACGTATGCTATGTGCTTCAGGGTTCTTACATATAGCGATTCACAAATTACCACATTAAGATCTTGTATATATGCCTAGAATACAACATGTATTCGTGATCATTAGTTCTACATACACAGTTAACATGCTAAGTGCTCTTATAAGTAGTTGGAAGTCTTTTATTCAAACGGAGAATATTAGAACAAATAATTATCTCCGGAACTAAAGTAATGAAATTTTAAACAATGTTAAAACAGCCTATTGAAGATGAATATGAGCCTGAATATGATCAGATGAGACTTCTTGATTCAATAATTTTGTGGTCAACACGAAGAGAAATGCTACATAATAACCTGTTTACATCGCAGGGAAATCCTAGTTATCTTTACTTTATCCACCTATTAGCTGATGTTGAGGAACTTTTCATGAAATACCGCAGGATATATTAAAGATTAAAACGAATAACTAGACGGAATAAAATGTTTTCTTTACATCAGTAATGCAGTATTCAACCTAGAAAATCTATGATTAATATTAGACTTTAATGAACTAATAATTACACTTACCACACCAACGGTAGTCCAAAATCCTAATGAATCCACAAGAGCGATAGCTTCGTCTACATTGGGATCATTTTTAGGTGAGTATGATAGGCTGTTGTTGATCCTAGTGTAAAATACACCTTTTAAATCTTTAATGTAAACATTAAACAATTTGATAAGTTCGTATTCATGAATAATATTAAAAGAAAAACTACTAAATAGATAACTAATTTGTTTTTGTTTAAAACTCTATAATATTGTGTATCTTAAGTCTCCTTTCATAACTAAACCCAGAATCTTCAGATCACTATTACATATGCATCATTGTTTGCTTACCTAAAAGAAATGTTTGATGCTTAGTAGTATTTTACAGATTCAGATGATCTATGGAATAGTGTTGGTACTTAACAAGTAAAATTATCATGGCTTTTCCAGTGAGTTTATTAAAATCCATAATTACTAAATGTGCTATCAATTTGGCTGGAGTTGTGAGGTGTAACATTTCTAGGACCGACCTTTCTTAACCTCTTCTTTTCGTTGTGAGGAGGCAGAATCGCTGCAGATGCTAGTGGTTCTCTGAGGGGACCAACTTACTAGTCACACCTCTGTATATGCTAAATTGTAATGTACCTAACAGGAAACATTTGTGATGGAAAGTCAATATTTAGAGAAAACCTTGGATGTCATGGGATTTAGAGTAATAGAAGTTTGTTGCAATATTTTACACTTTTGTGCTGAGGATTCTTTGTACTGAATAAGCAGTATTGAATAATGAATACATAATTCTGTCAGCTTTTATATCGGTTTAACTTGTTTGGGACCATGTTGCAACGGATTCGAAATACAACGCCAGTTTCTAGTGTCGAATTGTCTTGATTTTACATGTTATTGCCGATCCTGGTCATTATTAAGTACATTAAGTACATCCTATGGGCTCACTGAGTTTTTGGCTCCTGTTTTTTTAATTAGAATTAGAATTTACAGTTGGTGATTAAGGTTATGAATTAGATTTCGGGTTTTCATCACGAACTAGCATCAGCTATATTGCCAAAACTCTGTTTATCCAAACGGATAAATGAATTTCGCGCCAAAATCCGAGACCTGTTATCTTATATCTGACTGGTTCATCCATAAATTATAGTCTCGCTGATATTTTTTTCCTTAAAAACGAGGAAAGAAGAAGGAAGCTCCGTATTTAGTTCATATTTTAAACTGGATTCATCCAGAGTATTTTACGGATGAACCGAAAAAGCTAAGCATAATTAACCGGTAACTTCAGATCACCGAGATAGGTTAGGAAGAACTAGGCTGATATTAAGTGATTTGGGAAGTGGAACAAGCATTGGAAAGGTAGACCTGCAATCAACAATGTAGGCTGCTATTTACTACCAAAAAATATCCACTTATGTAGGAACAAAACTCAAAAAAGAATGAGTAAAATGTATATATACCAAGTAGAGGAAAAAGTTAAATATTGAGTGGGTATTGCTCATGACAACAGAACCGTAGTGTTTGATGTAAGGAATAAGTACCAATCAAAAATTCTGTCACAGGCGATTGGAGTAAATCAGCTTGTAGATCACTAATTCCCCAATTATTTAGGATCTGACCGTTAGACTTAATTTTTGAGAATCGGATCACATAGACAGAATAAGCTGTCAACAAACTGATTTGTAGATGACAGAAATAACTGGAGACATCGGTAGGCTTAAGCCCCATGCTTATTTAGATGAGCCAGTTAGATGGTTACAGAGCTTGAGTATGGAGAATAATTCTGGAAGCAGTACAGCAATACAGAATAGCATAGTGATATATACCAGTACACTATCAACAGAACAACTCAACCAAAAAAAGAATTTCGCTAAAGTGTTAACCAGAGTAAAGTGACTAATCAACTTAAACTGCTTGAGGGGTTGCAGGGTCTTTATGTGTTATGTCCCGATAAGCAAAATGAATGGTAACTTTGAGATCCATTCATGGACCAATACTATGCGTATATTTTTATCGTATAATTGTTATGTAACTAAATTATACATATTCATGTCCCTCTTATTATGAGCCTTATTTTGACCTATGAACTATTATTATACGATTTACCATTCTTGGTCGGCTATTAATAGACCTATCGATCGATTTTCTCCCAAAAAATGCATAGCCCTCAGCAAAGACCATTGAAAATGAATTACAAGATAACTAATCTCGAAAAGTGTAGGGACATGAAAGCTGGTATTTCCGTTTACTACGTTTATGTAAGTCGAAAGTCCTGTCTACTAGCAATTCCTTTAATAGTATACCAAGAGTATGACAGAAAATTCAGCTTATTTTCTGAGTTATTACTATTCACATAGTGTTAGTTATAGGACTTGTTTGACGAGCATATCAGGGTGATATAATTCCCGTCTATATGAAAAAACATCATGAAAGACTAACAACGTGACTTTAAAAACCACTTTAGTCGCTGAAATTTCTTAATATTAACAAAATTTCGTTGATCTAGCTTGACAACAGTACTGAATGACATAGGTTCTAATCTTAGTGGACGACATGAAGTTTCCTGAATATTCTAACATAAAAACTCAAATACGAAACCGGAGTCGGTCTCGCTGAATTAGTGTTTACAAATATCGAATATAACTAAATGGAACCCAAAAAAAATCAAAATTTAGACAAAGAAACAACTTGCAACTTACGTGGTTGAATAATCACAACATTATGTCCATTTTCAGGTAGTAAGTATGATTTCTTCAGCAACTCATCGTACACTTTATTTGAATCCACATCTACTAAATTTGAACCTAGATAATGAACATGATTAACAACAGAATAAGTTGTAATCCCATAAAATATCATTGTGAACGACGGCTAACACATAACATTATAAGGTTTTAAGAAATTAATGAACTGAATCATTTATTGAACACTGTAATTGAATAATAGGTTTAGAAAAGACGTAGTCATGAGCAAAGTGAACGTTGTAGAACTGTAGAAGAAACACGGATGGTCGTCGTGTGTATATATCACAACGAAGCTAAGACAGTTGTAAGAAAACTTCAAAACATTAATGACTTGAAAATTCCTACAGAATATTTAAAAACAAAGAGCATTAGTGCGAACGATTGTTTTCGGTAACTTCTCCATCAGGCTCTGCAATTATATGTTCAAAGCTTTCATTTTTGTGTTACGATAGGCAAAATATTAAAGCTGAATTAACATGTTACAAAGCGAAAATGGAAAACTTCACGCCAATCGAGTCATAAATAGTAAAAATTACTGACAAAACGTCATTGGTAATGTCAAGAAAATGTCATGCATAAAGGGTGAGAAGAATCAAGTCCTGATTAAGGTGGAGTTGTAATCAATAAGATAAAATCGTATGCAAAATAGTTAGCACAATATCGGAAGCGTTATGTTGTAGTTGTGTGGTGTTTGTATGAACTAACAATTCCTTTGTATCAGTATAAGGGTTGTGGAGATTGTTAAGTTTTTGATTGAGATCATGAATCAATTGATGTTAGACCACCGTTGGAAACCTGGACGGCCATTTCGTCATAGTACGGGACTCCTCAGCAGTGCGCACCCACGATCTCGCCCCCCGCGAGATTCGAACCCAGGACCTATCGGTCCTGAGACCTGTTATCTTATACCCGATTGGTTCGTCCATAAATTATAGTATCGCCGAAAATTACTTTAAATAAATCCTTTATGTATTACTTACATCTTCTGTCAAGAGAGTATCGAAATAAACGCCCAACATTTCGAAACATTTTGTTAAACACCAGGTGATTATTAGTAGAACTAAAATTTACATAATCTTTGTAGTCAAGGCGATTATAACTATCACATTGATGACCCACAGGAGGCAACGCTCCTAGGGTATCGTCCACTGACGGGGATTGCGAGCACTTGAAGGTCAAACGGTCGCAAAATGACTGGTGCGTCACATCGACAATTCGTGAAAATTTTCAGAAGCGGTCAAATCGAGACATTTTTAGATTTGAATTGAGTTCAGCCACACCATGTCTGGTAACGTTCATTCTTCAAGTAACGAAGACGATGCCATCGTGATGATGCATGATATAGGATGAATCTTCAATGATATTATCTTATCTCGAAGATTTACAAGGTGGGACAATTTTGAGACCTGTTTGAAAGAAGTACATAAGGTAATATGACTTCTGTGGTTAGTAATTATTTTTTTAGCATACGCATACTAAGTACGTTATGTCAGTATGCAAAAAGAACAGTGATGATCCAACTCTAAAGTACTTTTTCGTGAGATATGTCTTTACATATGGACGTAAACGCCGTTCATCAGAGTCAGTTGCTTGCGTTCAGGAAACCAACCAATTTTAAAATAGCGCCTTCTATGTCTCAGTTTCAGCTTCTCTTTGAAAAGGACAGGAGACTAGATGGCCTGTGTTAGTTTTGGTAATGGTGATCCTTCAGTTATCGGATGGAGCCTCAACCACGTGCTGAGTTAATGAAGTCTTTTGTCCACATCAATAGATTGCCTTCAATCCCGACATTTCTTAACTTATATAACAGCCGGTTGTGCGGAACCTTGTCAAAAGCTTTGCTGAAATCAATGAAGGCGACGTCTACAGGTAGCTTTTGGTCCTTAAGAGCGCACCAGACAAGGATAACCTATTCTGAAACCGTGCTGCTTCTCCGAAAGGATCCGGTTTTTATCCAGATACTTAAACAGCCCCTTCCGAATAGACTTTTCTAAGTTTTTAACAACCACACTAGTTAAGCTAACGGGGCGATAGTTCTCAGGTTTGTGTTTCGTACCTGTTTTAAAGACAGGACTCACTATGGCGTTTTTCCAGTCTTTTGATAAACGACCCTGCGTAACGGATAGGTTAAAGCATGTACTTAAAGGGCTTGCAACGAAGTTAGATAATTCCTTCAAAAGCCTAGGATGTAATTCATCGGGCCCCGTGGATTTACCTATGTTAGGCTTATTTAGCAAACTAAAGACATCGAGTTCTTTGATGGCCACGCTATCCAGTATACGTGTGGGGGATTAGTACGCGCTGACGGGAAGAGTGCTTCTATGGTATATACATTGCTAAAGTAGTTTGAGAACACTTGAGCCTTACCAAAGTCGTCCTCCACTAATGATGCGGAAGTACCGTCCCCCCATAGTGCAGAAATATTTTATCTGCTTTTTGTCCTATGGTTTATATGTGAGTACAAGCGTTTAGGACATTCTATGAATTCTCTAACAATTTTTTCTAAGTACAACTTTCTAGACACCAAAGCAATCGTGCGTTGAGCATGCTTTAATCCAGTCTATGTCCCGCTAACACAACCCCCTTCAATTGAGGACTCTGGGTCTATTTTCTAATCTTCTAACAATGCTGAGTGCATGATGTCTGGTATATTTGCTTTCCAGACGTTGGGTCTGGACTGGACTGACGCGTGCTCGTGATTGACAGTTATATGGAAGTCGAAAATTAAAACTGCGTGATCACTTTTACCTAGGGGTGGCATATAATGAAGGTTCGCAACGTCATCCACATAGTGAGTGAGTATCAGATCTAGTAGGGATGATTCAGTGTCCGGGTTGTACCTAGTCGCTCCGTTCACATGTTGCACTAGAGCACATGTGATAACCGCACCAACTAGTTCCTGCTCGAAGGGACTTTCTGACGATTCAGCTCGCAGATTTTCCCAGTCTACCATAGGTGCATTAAAGTCTCCTAGGATTAGACATCGACCACTTTGTGACCAAGCATTGAGACTGTTTAGCAGGACTTCATTTACCTCACAGCTTGGACTGCGATAGACCAAACCAATCAGCAGCTCTTGTCCCTTGCATTTCAAGCGGAGACTAATTCACATGTCCCACTCTCATGGGATACACTGTCGATAATGGCAAATTGGATAGCATTCCTAATGAATAGAGCTACTCCCTCTCCTTTACGCTTTTGTATTCTGTCAGCCCTTACTAACATTAAGCCGTCGAAATCAAGTTCCATACTATATACAAACTATGTCAGCCAGGTTTCTGTGACTGCGATTATGTCTGGCTTTGTAGAGTCAATCTGCACACCCACTTCCGATCACTTATTAAGTAAGCTTCGGGCATTAGTGTAACAGATCCGAAGCCTATTTAAGTGGCTTTGTGCTTCACCCAGAGTGGCTTCGGCATCATTCTCTGTCGAAGTCTTACAACCCGAAAATTTACAATTTTTATGTCCTTTTCGCCAATGTCTAACCTAAGTTGTAGTTCTTTCTCGGCTTCCCGTCTTTTTACACGGTCTGCCAACGGCAAGTCCTTACGGATAAAGACTCCTGAACCCTTTAATTTGTGTCCATTCTGTAAAATTGGGTCACGTTAGTTCGAAGAGTTGAATACTACTTTAAGCAGTCTGGAATGATTTGGTTTCATGTCCGCTAGACTCCCTAGTCTGTACACCTTTAGCAAGGTGACCCCGGTGATATTTTGAGGGATGAGTTGATTAAGCAGCTGCCTAATCAGTACAATGTCATGTTCAAAACGAGCTTTAAGTTCAGAGCTCTCGCTCTCCTTGATTCTATGAAAAATAGCTGATCTCTCGGTATGATCAGCTTTCGATTTTTCAACTACTTTTACGGGGGCAGGGTTCCCTTTTTATATCCCTACTTTTCTTCTTTACAACCTGTACCCATCTGTCAACGTTGCTTGAAGAAGCAACCAAAGTCGCGTCAAACATGCTGTGGGATTCCGGAGGGTTGTCCACGGTTCGGGAGGTCAGGTTATGTTTACCGCTTGAAAACGATAAAGCCTTGCGATTGCGGCTTCTAGGTGTTTCCCGTTGGATCCCATCTGGGAGATGGTGAACAGAAGACCCTACTTTTCTTGAACTTTTGTTTAAGGCAGGCCCCTTTGGAGACTGCTTTTCTTTCTTTGACGGGCGTGAGTCATCTATCATCGAACTAACCTTAGTTTCCTTCACGTTGATTTGCGTGTCGACAGATCGAGTGCTGTTTGACGCGTTACGACTATGCTTGCTAAAACACTTCTTTGCAGCATCAACCAGTGAGATGCCCTCGGCTAACAAGCTGTTTGCATCATAGCAGCACTGTTGACAAAGCCATACACAACCCTTCTTACTGAACCGTTTGAAAGCAGCAGGCGTTAAGTTCGTGCAAACTTCGTGGTACCAGCCTTCGCACTCGTCGCACTGCATGCCGCTTTCAACAGGATAACGACAACCCGGACGTTGGCAACTGCTTTTTTTACACTGTCCGGTCATTTAGAAGGGGTTCTTTTTCAATATGCGATGATACTCAGAAACAAAAAAAGTAATCAATGACCAAAAAGTGAAGAGCTGTAGATTGCTAGGACCAAAAGTACTAACAGATACAGTTGAAAAAGAGGTACTCAAGAGTACCAACGACAAAACTAATTGAGAGAACAGTAAAAACGATACTCTAGTCGAATACTTTAACTGAAATAAATTCAATTAAAGTGAAAACAGTAGTCTTGATACGTAATAAACGATCAAAACAAAGGAATTTACTCAGCGAGGAAAAATACCACTGTCCTTTTAAATAGCGCGCGAGTGCTCCAGGTTATGCTCCAAGTTATAGATCATTAACGTAAATGATCTATGTCGAGTTAGATGGGAATAGTTTGACCAACAGCTAACTTTAAAGTCACACCCCGCGGTAAACACATAATGTGGATTACCCTTTTTCGTATCAAGGTACTATGGCTGCTCCGGAGAACGTATAACACAAAGAGTGTTATCACAGAAATATGTGAGTAAAAGCAGGTACAAAGGAAAGGTTGCGACCACCACCGCATGGGCCAGTCCATGGTGTGCAGTTAATTGATGCGACCTGGTTGCCTCTGAATTTGACGAGGATCAATGGAATTTTCGACATTTAGTGACCCGACCTCAGGATGGCTTGACATTTTACTGGCCCTGCAAGGTCTTAGTACGGAGACCAATTGTATTCCAATAAGTCCTGGTTTCCAAAAAGTGATTTGGAGTTTGTCTGTAGCTTACTTCGGTGACAAACCAGAAAACTATCGATCCACTTCCTTCACCTTCCAGTTTTAATAGAAGACCTGCTCAGTCTAGCTCTGCTTTGTTGGAATTCGATTCGTAGTTTATGATAATCCTTTCCTTTCGCTTTGCACCACTTAACAAGTAACTAGTCGTCTTGACTGTTTCTGTCAATATTTTGACTACAACATTCACGATACTGTTTGGGATCTGGTTCGGCGGATGTTATCTTGATCTAGTTTGGTGGATGGGAGTGATTGTGGATTCCTTCCAGTTTATTGGTAACTTGTCTCCCGGTTGATCCAATGATGGCCGTGTTATTTATTTATATTCGGGACTATTTTTAATACACAAAATCCAACAAAAGCACTATTGATAATGAACTTTCGAAGAAAGGTTTCTCACTTACGAAAAGGCACGTTTGATAATTTAGACATACATTTTAAATGATTTCCTTCTGTAGCTTAACAAGCGGGAGATTCGAAGGTAGGGTTATTCAGCTTCTAGGTCAGTAAATGCGCGAGTTTAATATCAAATGCAACGGAGGCTGAATGATATAAATGGTGTTTTGCGTGGGATTGGGGTGGTAGTAAATGCCACTTTGAAGGAGCAAGCTCTCAAAGCTTCATGGGCGTGGTCAAAATCTGACTATCGTGACATTCTGATTACTGTATCAAAGTCTCTTTGTACTAAAATAAATGATCAGAATCTATCTCAAACTGCCAGTTATATAGCTGGAAGAATATGGCTTCTTAATCAACAGAATTTTATTATTGCCAAGTCATTCATTTTGCCTAAACTCGCAGAGAGCTTGGGGTTCGTACCAGCAAGTAACGTTGGTGATAAAGAGGGCACCTCTAACTCGGGTACTGACATCAAAACCGCTAATGAT